AGACCAAACTTCTCAGCCGTGGCGCGGGCATGGCAGGCCCCTCGCAGAGAGCTTCCTCTCAGTTGGGAAATTTTGAATCTGGGGCATTGAAGCATACCCCGTTGCTTGAGCCCTGAAACTCCACCACCCCCTAAAACCAAATCCTGAACCCGAAAGCTAAACTCCAAGTCTGGGCTTCAGCAGTCTCAGGCCATGTTGAGGGTGCTGCCTCCCGGACTGCGGAAAGGTTTCCTGAGCGTTGGGTGCCGGTATGCAGGCGCGGTCGCCGGATAGGGCAGGGGTCAGCAGGGGCATTGGTGTTGGGCCTGTTTCGAAATGGTCACGCCGAACTCGAGATGGACCGTGCACGGCTGGCAGGTACTAGTAGCGTTGCGGTTCCCCTCGGTTCGTTATACTTCAACCCTTGGCACTCCCAAGCTCTTCACCCTCAATATGTTCGAAGTCCAAGCGTCCGAAATGCCACACGGAGCTTGAAGCCTGGTGCCCGCTGGCCGACTAGTTCTGGGGCTACAGCTTACAAGCCCCCTCCAATGGTTTTGTGGGGCTAAACCAGCCAACCTCTGTTCCAGCTTGACTTGGCAGGTGGGCTTGGCACATCAGTGGCCTCTGCGAGGCCTGACCGGAACTTAAGACCTGGTTTCTAGATGTTCAAAGATGCTTGTAAACGTTGATAGATGCTCACACACATACCTTTTTGGGGTTTCGCCCGTTTCACGCACTTGGACTTGGCAAGTTCGCAACATCATCGAAACCAAGTACCGTCGGCTTTGTACAACCTGGGTTGCTGACAGTCAGCAGAAGGCATCCTTGGGTCTTCGTCTTTCGATGCATATCACGTTGCAGATGTACAGTGAGCGTGCACATGTCCTTCTGCTGTATGTGCGTGCGCACGCACGTGGCGCAGCACTAAACCCGAAGCCCTAAACCCTAAACACGCCAAGCTCTAAACGACAAATTTTTCAAAGCCATTTTACAAGCTGTCCAAGAGCTGGTTGAAAGAAGCTGGGGATCGTGGAGGCCTCGCCGTGCTGCGCTTGAAGAGGTCGAGTCGAGCGCACTCTCGTTCCGCCCGCGGTCTGCACAGACACGCAGCTCGGCATGGCCCAAAGTCACGTAGATTCACGCGTGTATCTTCACACCGGCTTGGCAGCTGAGGCGCCTCCGAATCGTGAGCGCAAGAAAACCACCAGCTCCAGCCATCCCTGACAGTTCATCTTGAATCAGACTAACACATCCCATACCATCCAATCTCAAGACGCGCGGGACCTTTGTTTCGTCCCTTCGGCTCGCTCCGCACTTCGCGGTAGACGTGGCCACCAGGAGGAGCCATGGAAATAATGGGGCCGCCTGTCCATTCAGGTTGCTTTATGCCGTTGAGTAGTGTTAGGAATTCATATGAACAGCATGACTGCGTCACGGCACGCGAAAGAGAGAAAAAGTACTGAGCTGAAGCGCAGATGGATGGTGCCATGAGCGGGCACTTCACGTTACGATTTACGCGGTTTCCAGTGGGGAAGTAGCGGAAGTAGCTCTTGCCTTCGTGTGGCTTGGGCAGCGCAGGCTGAAGCTGCTGGATGAAGGGACATGCCAAGGCACGGGGCTCTAGGAAGCCAGATTCGTGATGATGCTTCAAGCAGACAGAGTGCATGACTCAACGGCATGGTGTTCGTTGTTGGTGGCTTTTCACAGCTTCGCTGCCCGGAGGGTGGCCGCCGCTGTATTTTCACCATTCTTGGCTAGTTCGGGATCACTCCTTTTCCTGTACTTGTTGGGTTTGCGTGCGCCTGTCAGGCCTCTGACCCTGAACATCCACATGAGATCCTGGTGATGGTTCAAGCTGTGCACAAAAGGCCTGGAGAAACCCCTTGCGAAGCCAGAGCATTCCTAGACTTGTCTCTGAGCGCAGGCAGCTTGGCAATGGTGCTTAGGTGGACTTCAATAGTTGTTCCATAAGCAGCAGCTGTGTCACCGGGACTTCCGAGAAACTTTCAGCTGTTGCCGCTGGGCGAGGGCCAGGAGATTGTAGTACGAAAACGCCAACCAGCATGTCGCTTTGATTGTCCAAAAATCGATCGTTGAACATCCTGCGGCAATCATTCCTTCCTGTCCTTCTCACACCCCGAAGCCCTGTATACGGTGTTGAAGCAAAGCCTGACCACAGGAAGTCATCTCCAAGCTTCCAAAAAGACGGTGGCGATGATGCCGAAGACTGTGGTGAGGCGGGGGAGGGGTAGAGCTTGTGCATCTCTGGTGGTAGGAACTGCGCCAAGACCTGGTAGCGAAGCTGTGTAAGGGTGCCAAAATGTGCCAAACCAAGAAAACAGGCTGTAGAGGCAGCATTGATTGTGTTATCGGTGCAGTCAGCCTGCGCATGGGGCGATGCAACAAATCCCTCACATCTTTCACATGCAGCACTGCCAAGAATGGATGTGGGTTAAGCTGAAATCAGGGTCTCATAGAGCTTTTTTGCCAAGGCCTGCGGCACCAGAAGCGTGCTGTTTCAAAAGGACCAGTCTGCCTTGGAGCCACGTGCGTTCTGCTCAGTCTGTCGGATTCACAAGTCCCAGAAGCCCCTAGGCCTAAGCCCGAAGGGATCCCGCACAGATTGTTTTTATTCTGTGGAGCGGGAATGCATGGATTTCCTCGCCGAGGGTCAGGATAAAGCTGTACCGAATCTCCAACCCTCCAGAGGGATGGAGACGCATCTGCAAGCGAGGACCCCGCGGCAGGCTTCACCGGGAGACGTCCAGGTGGGTTTTTGGGCTTCTGGGGTTTCGGGGCTTCGAAGGAGATCAGACGAGCATTCCAGCGATTCGTCACTAGAGCACAGATTGCTTGGATGGCCCTAAGTTGCTGTAGCAATGCTTGTACATGCTGAAGCTAAAGGAGTAGTTGGCTGGACTGGATGATTGCCAATGATTGCACAATCAACACCCCTCAACACCCGTCTGGCCCGAGTTGTGACAAAGCCTAGAGCTGGCAGGTCAGAATGGTTAGAAGCCACCGCGCGCCTGAGTCGACGCGTTCTGCTGAATCGCCTGTTGAAGCTAGCTACGGCCACACCTTGGCCTGAGATTTTTAAGTTTGCACTTGCCAGGTCGCGATCCCCCCTCAGTGCCTGACAAGCTAGAAAACTTTCTCCGAAGCTTCACCAGCACAGGGACCTGGGCAAGCAGCCGACCGATTGAGTCGCAGGTTTGGCATGTGGAGCTTGCACTTGCTCCGTCGCACGATGGCGTATGGCGCGTAAACACTTTTTGTGCGGATGCGTCGCGGCATTTTTTGCCAAGGTGAGCCTGAACCAACTTCCTGCTCAATGGCGTTTCATTGCTCAAGCTGGCTGAAATAGAGATAAGTAAGGTGAAGGATCGGAGTTTCGGAGCAAAGCGATTTCGACTAGCCATGTTTGAGTACGCTGGCGCCCCAGGATCCAGTTTCCCTGGTGGTGGCACTAAACATGGACCGATTGACCGAGGCCCCAGCGGCCTTTTGCATCGTCGTGCTGGACTGCTGGGATACGGTGGCGTCCCTACGAAAGTGTTCTCTAATTGTTGCACACGGCACTTGTCTGTCGACAATAAATGATTGGGAGCGCTGCCCTCCAAGGTTCTGGAGGCGTTCTGGTTCCCCCCTGCGTACAAGAAGGCTTCTCTTCTCTCGCACGTGTAGAAAATGGCGCGAAGCCATAGAGAGCGCTGCTGCCTGCGTCTCATCGGCTTGACCTGAGCAAAAGCACTCCTGGAGGCAATCGATCCTGCTGAGTTCACCGCGTTGGACAAGCGAGCCCTTGGGCTGCAGCTTCTCCTCAAAGCCACTAAAGCTGTTCAGAGCCCCATCCTTTAGCTTCCCCAAAATCCTTTTGCCGGGCTTTGGTGTTGCCGTGTTGCCTTTCTGAGGTTTACCGAGAGCTGTGCGGATTGCCAGCGGAGGCGGGCACGCTTTGCAGTGACCAGGTCAAGTTTGGGAAGGTTTCCAGTAACCAAGTAATGCGGTTTGCCAAGGAGGAAGAGACAGACATCTCAGATGGGTCTGAGTGTGCGGTGGAAGGCTTCGATGTGAACAGCACATAATATGAGAGCGCGGTGGGGAGGAACAGCCTCCTAGCCGCTGCCGGCAGCACATCCCCTCTGCTTTGGAGTCCACACATACTGTCTATATGTGAAAGCTAGTCTGTTCAGATTTTCTTGTTTGCAATGAGGTTCATTGTGTTCTGATTGTGTTTTTGCTTGCAAGCATCAGCCAGGAGGAGGCAAGCTTGTCCTGAGCGTCAGGGCGGCGTTGACAGTCACTCGTGATCGACATTGGCGTGCTCGTTCAACACGAATGGCACTGAGTCACAGTACTCGTTTCCACGTGATTTGTTTCGTCTGACTGCAAAGACTACGCAGCTTTTTGGCGGGCGTCCTGTGTGCAGACTTGTCGGCCGTTTAGAGGTTTGTATTTCCATTTGCTCACATTCTGTCTTTGTAGACGGCAGTGCTGACACGAGTGGAGTTGTTGCGTGAATAGCCATGTTGCTCCCATCAAGTTTGGCTTGATGTAGCCAGCTTTGCTCGAACATGGCAAAGCGTAGCATGGGAGAGCGGGAACAAGTCGTCACCTCGCGACTGTGGAAATGGAAAGGACAGCGCGCTTGCCAAACTTCATCGCATGTGACATGCCACATGATTGCCCAGTATAGCCAGACAAGAAGCTCGTCACAACTGGACACAGCAAGAAGACTAAACTTCTCAGCCATGGCGCTGGCATGGCAGGCCCTCTTGCAGTTTTCAGTAAGCTTCGCAAAGGTCGGTCCCAGGTTGAAAAAATTTGGAACCTTAGGTGTTGAAGCGTGCCACGTTGCTGAAAAAACTCCATCACCCCTTAAAGCCAAACCCTGAACCCTAAGCCCTAACTAAACTCCAAGTCTGGGCTTCAGCAGTATAAGGCCATGTTGAGGGCGTAGCCTCCGAGACTGCAAGTCCCAATGCAGAAAGGTCTCCTGAGCTTTGTGTGCCGGTATGGAGGCGCGGTCGCCGGACAGGAACGGGGAAGGGGATTGCGGCTGTGGGTTTAGGGTGGGGGCATTGGTGTTAGGCCTGTTTCTAAGGGGTCATGCCAAACTCGAGGTGGACCGTGCAGTGCTGGCAGGTAGCGTTGCGGCTCCCCACAGTTTGGGGTATACTTAGTATACTTCAACCGTTGGCAATCCTAAGCTTTTCAGCCTCAACATGCTGGAAGTTTGCAGGAACGCCACACCGGAGGCTACAGCCTACAAGTCTCCTTTGATTGATTTGTAGGCTTTTGGGTTGCGCCCTAAGCCTGGAAAGCCTACATGAAACAGTAAGCCGAAGCATGCCGAACCTTAAACCGGCCAACCTCTGTTCCAGCTCAACTTGGCAGGTGGGCTTGGCAGATCAGCGATCTCTGCGAGGCCTGGCCGGAACCTATGACCTGGTTTCTAGATGTCTATAGATGTTTCTAGATGTTTATAGATGTTTATAGATGTTTTCAGGTGCGCATATCCTTGTGTTCCGTGCACGTGCACACGCGCGTGCTCGTGTCAAGAGGCACAGCAACCTTAACCCCAAACACCAAACCCCATACCCCAAACCCAAAACCCGAACCCTAAACCCCACGAAGTCTTTTTATCACCCAAGCCCCTAAAGCCCGGACAACCTGCGCCCCCCTGAAGCCCCTCCTAATCTTTTGGCGCCCTCAACTGCTTGGGGCCGTCAGTCTTCTCGGTAGCTGACAAAAACTCTACCAAAAGAACTCTGAGGCCGAAAGCCCTCTGAGGCCTAAACCCTAAACCCTACACCCTAAAAACTAAAAACTAAACCCTAAACCCTAAACCACCAAGATCCCCCAAAGCCCCGAAGCCCCAAAGCCCCGGAATCAGGCCGAGGCCGCCCTGCGGCCCAGCCCCAGGAGGCGGCACCTGCTGCAGCGTTTGGGGGCCCAGAGAGCCGGTTGCCTTGGGCTTTGAGGGGGAAGACCCCTGGTTGGCTGAAACACGGCTGAAAGCTGAAGCCCTCAACCCTAAACCCTCAACCCTCAACCCTCAACCCTCAACCCTCAACCCTCAACCCTCAACCCTCAACCCTCAACCCTCAACCCTCAACCCTCAACCCTAAACCCTAAGCCCCTAAACCCTCTAAAGCCAAAACCCTCACTCTAAACTGCCGTTGGGCCGAGGCCTGCGGCTCCAGAAGTGCACTGGTTTGAAAGGACTGCGCCGCGTGCAGCTTGCGGTGTTGGTGTCCGTGGGCCCAAGAGCCCGAAGCCCTCATCCCTCTGGTTTGGCTTGCGGCATGGCTCGCAGACTTCGGCTTTCCTTCAGTGCCAGGGCACAGCAGGTGTGGAGCTTCAGCTTCAATTCGGGCTCACTCACCAGGATTTCCAATGATTCCTTGCTTCGGGCTCGATGACTCGAAAGCCTGAACCCTGCGGCTGTAAAGCCAGCACAGGATCCGAGATGGACGGCAGATCGGATACGCCAACAGCGTGAAGCCCAGACCGTTGCATTCTTTTAATGCTGGGTTTGGGTTTTGCGTGGGCCGGCACCGGCCCTAACCTTGTTAGGGATGCAGGACCAGAGAGCAAGAGGACGTGCTTTTTTTTGGGAATGCAGGGCCAAAGAGCAAGAGGAAGTGCGGCAACACCTGAGTGTGCCTCCCTTTCGCCTTCTCGGAAGCTTAAGATTCGAACAGAATCTATCAGACAGGTTTGACGCGGAGGCGACTGCACCAGGGGCTGCAAAGATGCAGCATCATTTGCTTTACATCACTTTGTGTTGTGCTAGTGGCGATCATCGCGATCGCCATCTTGGTGTGGTACGCTGTCATCCGTGGCACGGTCACTGGCCAACTGCCGTCTGTGCTCAGTTCGGTTTGGAGACCTGCTTCGAAAGGGCATGAGAGTGGTATTCACACTCCCTCCCCCCTTGCTGCTGAGTTGAGAAACATTCCGGGTTAAGTTTCGCTTTTCGTTTTGCAAGCCGGACCAGGCGGGAAAACCTCTGGATGGTCGTAGCAGTTTGCGTCTACTTCGGGGCTGGCGTTCGCTGACTTTTTCAACTATTCGGATCTCTTTGCTTCAAGTTGCATCTACTTGGAGATCTGCGCTTGTTGTCGCTTTGGGCATGTTGCCTACAGAGCCAACTCCCCGCTTTGCTGCTGAGATCGAGACGCAGCTGCGAGTGAGACCCCCGCAGCAGGCTCGCCGGCGTCTTGGGGGTCAGGGTATTTCGCTTGTTAATTCTTTGGTGTCGGTGAAAGCTCGGATTCCTGATCAAGAAGATTCGAGGCATGTTTGTATCGGATGGAAGTTGGCTACGCCCAAAGGTCCCTCCCAGCATCGACACCATCCCAGCCGTCGTGAGCACGGCGCAAAAAAGCACGCAAGCACTGCCAGCACTCGCCCAATGTCCCATGCAGCTCGTAAGCTTCGAAGGACTCGACCCCCAAGGCGATAAAAGCAATACGAGATACAGTACCGTAATGCCGTATGTCTGGGGCCTATAGGGCTTAAACCCTCCTTTGGCCTCCTTCCCGAAACCGAAGGCGCACCGCAGCCGTCGCAGCCGTCGCAGCCGTCGCAGCCGTTGCAGCCGTTGCAGCCGTCGCAGCCGTCGCAGCCGTCGGAGACAGGGAACGCAGGCCAAGAAGCAGGCCTGGCCAAGAAGGCACTCCTAGACCTGACCTTCTAGACCCTAAGCTGCTTCACCTTGAGGGTGACACTCTACAGGCCACCCCCCCTCCATCGCCGCTTTTCGAATTTAATCTTGCGATTCAGAACTTGTGCAGACTTTCACTGCATGATTTCTGCCAGCTTTGGATTTCAGTTGTTGGGAGATCCCAGATCCGCCCCAAAGTGCCCAGGGCGGGTTCTGCATCTTGGTTTTTCGAGGCGCCTCGTGGCCATCACACATCCGAGCCCCACTGGCGGAGAGCACAGGGCGAGATACAGGCGGGGAGTAGGCTGTGGTGCTTTGCTACACTGAAACTACTAGTATCCGTGGGCGACATATTTGTTACGCTGTTCACTGCTCACGTCGCGATCTGCAGAAATATGATGAGAACATGAGATACGTGGGACCAAATCTCAAAATTCTAAACTCCAACGCCCGGACACCCCCCCCCCCCCAAACCCCCAAGCTTGGCCGGGGCGGGCAAAAACTTCCCCCGTTCACGGGACAAGACTCACGCTTCGCGGGCACCCCTGCCGTGGTTTGAGGTTCTTGAGCTTGTGGTTCGAAAGCACTCCGTCGCAGGTCTCGCTAGCCCTCCCTGGCACCAAGCCGCAGAGACTGCTGGGCAAGGTGCCCCTGTCCACAAAACACGAAAACCAGGGTGGAGATTCTTGTCCCTGCGCCCATCCCAAAAGCCTCTACTTGACCTAAAGTGACCTCGGATCTTGGGACCTGAAGCATCTCCACCGTATCGCCCGATTCGCAGACGCCAGGCCTAAGGCTCGGACTTTCGTCCTCCAATCGCCCTGAACCCTTCAACCTAAAACCCTGAACCCTAAACCCTATTTTAACCCTAAAACCCTGGAAGGATCTACTCTGGGTCCTAGTAACCCTGAGATCCTAAGCCCTCCCCGAAATTTAGGGTTTTCGGGAGTTTCGAGGACCTAATGATAGATAACGTCGGGCCCTATGTCTATGCCCTCGTTACAGGCACCATGACCTACTATGTGCTTAAGAACACCAAAAAGAGTCGATTCTTCCTGACAAGGGGAACCTTCAGGGGTACAACCTTAGAGGGTACGAGTCTTGATCCCTTACAAGGAGGGGGCCCCCTACTATACCAACTATTTTAAAGGACTTACAAGTTAGGATCCTTGCAACCCAAATGAGGGGTTTTATAACTCTACTTATAACTACGTCCCCTACCCCCAAACCTAAACCCTAAACCCTAAACCCTAAACCCGAAACGCGAAACGCGAAACGCGAAACCCAAAATCCAAAATCCAAAACCCAAAACCCAAAACCCTAACCCAAAACCCTGAACCCCAAGCCTTATTTTAACCCTAAAACCCTGAACCCTACCCCAAGCCGCCCTCGAAGCTTCCAGGCCCGCAACGGGGTTGGACCGATTTCTGGGGTGATCAGCCGCCTCCGCCCAAGCCTTTCTATGGGGTCTCGGGCTAAGGTGTTTCTTGGGTTCTCTGCTCTAAATGGGGTTTAGGGTTCTAAGTTCTGAGGATTCGAAGGGGTTGGGACTTTGAGGTTATCTCCCCGGCATCTTTCCGGTCGACTTCTCGTTGAGAATTTGGGGCTTACAAGTTCAGGGTTTCCCAGGGTTCCAGCGTGTAGGAAGTTCCGAGCTTATCGGGTTGCCCCTCACTCAGGCCGAACCCGAGTGGCATGGTGCAGGCTCGAGACTTCTTTTTGGACGGGGTTCTGGTGCTTAGGGTTTGGTGTTGGAGGTTTCGCTTTTCTTTCTGGGAGTTTGAGATGGCATGAGGCGTTTGGGTTCCAGGCTCTGTTTGGGCGAGCACACACCCAAAACTTCCTAAACCGCCCACCCCCCCCTCGCCTCTGCTGGGTAGGCGGGCGCAGTCGAGCCCTCCGCGAGACCATGGGAGGCTCTGTTGAGCTGTACAAGGGGGCGGCACTTGACGCTTCTAGGAGCTTGGGAGGGTCTGAGGTTGCGGGAGGTATGGGGCAATCTCAAGACCTCGCGCCCAGACCACAGCGTCCCAAGTGACCCGCGGATTCCAGGATCTTAATTATCCACAAATGAACCAAGCGCAAAAAAGTGCCCCAAGCATTCCGTTTCAAGTGCCCTGACAGTTCACCAAGCGTTTACCGAAAGTTTGGCACAAGTCCTGACTTAATCCCAAAAGTGCCCCCAAAACGACCCCAGAGTTGCAAGTGTCCAAAGTTTCCAAAAGCGTTTCAAATGTTCCTTAAACATGATTGACATGTCTGGAATGGCTTTGGCTTGGTTTGGGCTGGCTCTGATGTGGCTCCGTTGGGGCATGTCTTCACACTACTGCCGCTTCCCAGTGCGCGACCAGGCACACAGCCGAAGCCCGAAACCCTGAACCTTAAGAGCCCAAGTCCTAACCTGCAACTCTGCAGCCCTGACAGACGTGGTAAGGGAAGCCCTGGGTTTTGGGACGAGACTACCAGGTTTTGCCTCTGGCTTGGAGGGGGGGGGCTAGGAGAAGATGGCCAGATTGCGAGACGAGAAGAGAAGCGAGAGGGCGCAACCAGAAATGTGATTTCAACTTGTGCACGCGTGGTTCATGGGTTTCCACGAGCATGTTCACGTCGTTGATCAAATGCAGCACAGCTATTTCGAAGAGAGGCCGGTGCATTCCAGACCGCTGCACCTGCACCTGGGGATTGGAGCACGACGGCCAACATGAGTCCCCCCGCCAGGCCCGGGATGTGTCTTTTTGAGGGTCCTTTGTGTATTATTATGGTTTACCTTTTGTTTTTTTGTTCAGAGGCTCTCACCGCTTTGTTTTGATGGTTCTTCGGGGGTGGACTCGGGCGCACGCCGGAATGGAAAAATTGACAGAAGCCCAAACTCGCTCAATCCTTCCAGCAGTCATCGGCCTTCACCACAAGCTTCTGAGGACCATGGCGCCCGAGCAGGTCGATCCTGGTGTCGAACTGGGAAGCTTTTCATCTTCTTTTTTGCAGAAAAAAATGAACCTCAGAGTCCCCGAATCCAACACCTCAGCCCAGAAGCAGCTTATATGTTTCTACCCCCGAAGTCCTCATGTCACCCAAAGGAATCTTCCACCCCGCAAAGACCGGCCCGAGCCCCCCCTAAACCCTAAACCCTAAACCCTCAACCCTCAACCCTGAACTCCCTGCCAGGAAACGCCTGCAGAGCCTGCGCCTGCAGAGCCTTTGGAGCCCTGGGAGACCTCCTGGGAGACCTCGCAACCAACCCCGGAAGAGCCCTGGGAGACTTCGGCAAAGTCCCGGGAGCCTTGGGACGACTGGGAGGACCACGCGGCTTGGCGAGTTTGGGGCTTCAAGGTTTCGGTTTTCGGGTGGATGGGCGTGTTGGGGATTGAGGCTTCAGGGGGGTTGAGGCTTGAGGGTCTGGAGCTGTGCTGAGATTGAATTGGGCTCTTTTCCAGATTAATCATGTTGGCCGGGGCCGGGGCCGGACGATACTTTGGAGAACGGACCATATACTTTGCATCTTGCCAACGGATGCATGTCTAGAAGCAACAGCGAAGAACCGTTGCCTTGTTTGAGGGTGGGCTTCTGATACTCGGACGTGTCAAGCGGTGTACACTGTATCGTAACATGAGTCATGGGGCTACAAGCAATGCCAGCTGGCATCCTGAGAACAATTCGTGGCTTATCGCTGTTCATTCCAGGATGGCTGTCTCTCAGCCACACCGAAGCATCCCTAGCTTTTGTCCTTGATTCCGAACGCTTGAAGCCAACAAGTCTTGGCAGAAGTGTGGGCCTAGGTTCGTGGTTGTACTGATGTTCACAGTGGGGTTCCGACTCGAAGCCTGCAAGTCTTTGCGCCCAAGAGCCGAGCCCTGAACCCTAAACCCTAAACCCCAAAAACCCTAAACCCTAAACCCTCAACCCTCAACCCTAAAGCCTAAACCCTAAACCCTAAACCCTAAACCCTAAACCCTAAACCCTAAACCCTAAACCCAAAAGCCTACTAAAGCCTAAAGCCTAAACCCCTTTCAACAGGTGCACCATCCTGGCCCCCTGTCGGCCGTTCCGGAGACGGCCACGCCCAGCAGCACCCAGCCACAGAGCCATCCGGGGTCGGCCCAGGACCGACTGTCCGATGAGGGTTTAGGGTTTCGGTTTAGGGTTTAGGGTTTAGGGTTTAGGGTTTAGGGTTTAGGGTTTAGGGTTTAGGGTTTAAGGGTTAAGGGTTTAGGGTTTAGGGTTTAGGGTTTAGGGTTTAGGGTTTAGGGTTCAGGGTTCAGGGTTCAGGGTTCAGGGTTCAGGGTTCAGGGGCGGGTGGAAAGAGGCCTCCTAAGGGGATTCTAGCGGGGGGGGTCAGATGGTCACTTCTCTACATTCTGGTCCCTTTTAAGGTTACCATGAAAAGGTGGACGCTAACATGCAGGGTACCCAGAAAGGGACCATCATTCTGAGAACTGGCCGGATGTTGTTGGGTCACCGAGGTATCCTGCCTCAAGAGAGCCGGCCTGAGATCTGTGGCCTGTAGTCCTGTAGTTGAGATCCAAAGAGTGGTAGTGTTGAGTCCGGCATCTGAGTACAATGGCTACAACCGAACATGACATACAAGCTTGCAGGTCTCATGCTTTTTTCACATTGACAGAGTCGGCACAGAATGGCGAAACGGCCAGAGCCTTCCACCAAGCTCAGCAAAGGCAGATTGCTTCGACAAAGGCCACGAACCCCGCGAACTTTCCGTAGTTCCCTGAAGGCTGACATGAGCCCAGGATACGACCGAAAGTGAAATGAAGGCCCCTCCACAAAGGCCCAATCGTCTTATGCAGCATCTCGACCCAGCAAAGCGCGTCCCTGAACTTGCGAACTGTTTCATTTTTGCCATGGAGACCCCAAACCCTCAACTTCAGCCCTGTTGCTACTGCGAGGATCCTGCTAGCCAGAGGGGTTCACCAGTGCGACCTGCGCCGAGCGCGATCCGGCCCCCTTGCTGGGTGGGATGTCCTTTTGCTTTTGGACAGTTTGAAGCCCCCAAGCCCGTAAACCGATGAACCCTGCGCCGACTTGCAGCCTAAAACCACCTCATGGCCCTCAACCCCTCAAACCTACTGGATGTGACGGGGCAGGGTGCTTGTTCTGAGGCCCTCGGACGATGCTTGGGCAGCCGAGGGTCTACAGCCTCAGACGCTAAGCCGCATTCGTCTGGGATGTTGGGGTAACCAAAAAAGCATGCACCTGCGAAGTGCTTAGGACTGCCGAGCAGACTCATGCAAGTGAATCGGGAGGCTCGCTTTCGGCGGGAGAGACGAGAGTATCAGGGGCAAAGCTTTTCGATGTCGGGAGTCTTGGGACAGCTCTTTCATTCGGCAGCAATGCACGAAACCACCCAAGAATCTCAAGTCCCAAAGCGTGAACCCTAACCCCAACATTGGAGGGACAACCCTGGTCGTGGCATCTTAGGCCTTAATATGTGTTACGCTGCGATCAACAGAAACCTGAAACGATCCTCTGAGCCAGCGCCAACGTGCGCGAACAGAACAAGCCAGCAGGGCACTAGCACCCTAAACCCTAAACCCTAAACCCTAAACCCTAAACCCTAAACCCTAAACCCTAAACCCTAAACCCTAAACCCTAAACCCTAAACCCTAAACCCTAAACCCGAAACCCGAAACCCGAAACCCGAAACCCGAAACCCTAAACCCTAAACCTTCAACCCTAAACCCTAAACCGTTAACCCTAAACCCTAAACCCCTGGGAGGTGCCCCAAGGACACCGGTTGGGCCTCCAGCCCAGTGTGTCAAGGCCGCGTGGGTGGGGTTAGATCTTGGGGTTGGTTCAAGGTTTAGGTTTAGGGTTTGGGGTTTGGGGTTTAGGGTTTAGGGTTTAGGGTTTAAGCCCTCCCCCAACTCACCTGAGAGAGTTTGGGCCCCCAGGTTCATGGCTCCGGCTTTTCAGACGCGGGATGTGGGTATCTCCTGGCTCAGGTTATTTCAGGTTCTTTCCGGGGCTTAGGAAATTTTTGGGCTTTGGGAACTTTTTCAAGGTCTTGTGCTGGCAAATTGGCCCGCGCAGCACAGGTGCAGCGTAGCCTGACGCCCACAGCGGAACAAACACACGTGTTTAGGGAACCGGGTGCCTTCGCGGGGGTTGTGGGGTGGGGAAGGGCTCGGGTCTTGGGGGTTTCGGCTCTGAAAGCTTTGTCCCGGCCACCCCCAGCCTGTCACCAAACCCACTGCAGACCTTCCGTGGGGATGATGCCAACTTCGTTCCCGTGGAGCGTGGCGCCCCAGGTAGAGCGCCATCTGTCTGAAGGCCTCGGTTTTGGGGTGTTCGGGGCTTGCGCCTTTGAGGCCCAGGATTTGCTGTAGAGGTGTTGGGTTGCACAAATGAAGCAGGACATGGGGGCTGAGCTAAACTCATGACACCCCCTTTTTTGGACACTTCAAACTATGGTCTTCAGGAATATCCCCGAAAAGAGAACCCAAAAGGGCCCACAATTTAACACAACCCAGAAGCCTCTCAAGGGTGAACCCCGACATCCCGAACACGCCCCCCCCCCCGGAAAGCCTGAACCCTAAACCCCGAACTTTAGGGCTCAGGGACTCCGAGCCTCAAACTTCCCCCCCCTCCCCCCCCCAAACTAAACATCAAGAGCCCTGCAATGCCCAGGTGCGGTGATCGCATGGTCCTCACCCATCCAGCGCCTTGCAGAGCATAGGGTTTAGGGTTTGGGGTTTAAGGTTTAGAGGGTAGGGGTTCGGGGTTAGGGTTTAGGGTTTAGGAGCTCCACTTGGCACAGTTCCGAGTTTCGATGTCGAGGATGCTAGGCCTTGAGCCCTGGGACTCTAGCACGGAGTGCGCTTGCTGTCAGGCCCGCGCTGTGTGCTGCTTTAGCTCCTTATCATGTTCCTCCCAAGCCTTAAGTCTTGGTGGCAGTTGCAAGAAAGCCTCCTTTGTGGCTTCGGGTTCTGCCATGGGTATATATGTATATATATATATATATGTATGTATGTATGTATGTAGGTAGGTATGTATGTATGTATGTATGTATGTATGTATGTATGTATGTATGTATGTATGTATGTATGTATGTATGTATGTATGTATGTATGTATGTATGTATGTATGTATGTATGTATGTATGTATGTATGTATGTATGTATGTATGTATGTATGTATGTATGTATGTATGTATGTATGTATGTATGTATGTATGTATGTATGTATGTATGTATGTATGTATGTATGTATGTATGTATGTATGTATACATATACATATATGTACATATATATATATATATATGGATAATCTATATTACCACCTCAAACCTCGAAATGCCGAGTCCTGAGCCTGAGCTCCCAAGCCTAGGAGCAAAACGACCTCTTCGGCGGCCACAACCTGCGAACCAAACAGGCGCTTGGATATTGGACCGCTTAACCTTAAACCCTCAACCCTGAGCGTGAAGCCCTAAAAGACCCTAGCTCTAATTTCAACCGGTCTAGGGCAAAGGTTCTGCTGTCGGATTGTTACGTTGTGGGCGACGGCGGCCTTACCCTCAACCGCACCGACGCCCCACGATTTCAGACCCTGGGTCAAATTGTAGGGCTTGCGTTGCAACTTCGCAGGAGGGGTGGCTGCCGAGTAACGTCGTGGGCCTGCCGCCAGAGGATCGAGGCGAGCGAGCCTTGCGGGAGGGTTTGTTTCAAAGGCTTTAGGGGGTGGTCTTACGGCCTGGCTCTCAGACATGCTACCCTGAATCCTAGATCCTGAACCAACGTGCAACCCCTAAACTCGACTTCCGAACTGCCAAGCCCCAGGGGCTCACCACGAAAGAGCCTTTGTTTTATCAGCGTGCTCATGCACCAGGAAAGCTGCAAACCCTGAAGCAGCCAAGAAGCTCAGCAGCTCTTCAACGACACCCTCAACGAAGCCCTCATGTCAAGACGGCCCAGAAGAGACCAGAAGAGACCAGAGTTGGAGGCCCCAGAGCGAGCCTTCGCTTCTGTGTGCAGCATGCTCAAGCCCAAGCCCCAAAACCCCAAAACCTTCGTAAACCCTCAGCCTTATTCAGCGATCCCTGGGGGTCTGGTTGAAAGGGGAGCTTCATCGAGATTCTCTAGGAGCTTGGGTTGTAGGGTTTCGGTTCAGGTGAGGGAGCCCCTTATTCTGGAGCTCTCAATCCTTGAACTCCTAGTCCACCCCTCCCACCTCCCCTGAACCTGAGATCCGGCGTCGGCTGGGCCTCCTCCAGCGGCGGACCCGGCACCTCTGCAGCATTGCAGCTTCACTGACCAGATCAAGTAACTTGTGAAAATCCAGCCGGACCGAACCCATGGGTTTGAGACTTGTGTGAGCTTAATTCAACCCCAGTCAAACCACAGCCTCAAACTATTTATTGGTGCAGAGGACCCTAATTCAAGTAAGACTGACTTGCATGAATCATAGCAGCTGAAGTATGAGATGAACCCAACCTCTCACGAGAAATAGGCAAGGTCAAAATGTGCGCATCCAGGTGACACCACACCCTTTCAGATCATAAACGTTTTGCAGATGTATCTGTACAGGTATACGAGGCAGAGTAATGATCGCTGTTATTTGGTAGGGTTCCCTATCAATACTCGTGCGTGTATATGTTAGGCGTCCCTTGGGTTATACAAATAATAATGTAAGCCCTTTTTCATATGTATATTGTATATGCTCATGTTTATGTTGTACATAAGAAAGATCAGATATGCAGTCCCTTTCCGGGTACCCTGAATGGAAGGCTCCGTGCTGTAGCAGGCAACCCCAAAAAGGCTTACCGTTTAGGGTACCCTCAATAAGCCTTCAAACACGTCAAGCCATAACCCTAAACCCTAAACCCACCCCTACACGGGGAGCCTACCAGATCCCTTTTGCTCCAGGTGCTTAACGGCCATCCGCCAGTGAGGAAGCTCAGTGTCCGGATGGGGGGCTCTTCTACATTGGGATCCTTTAAAAGCTTAGAATGTGCAATCTTGAAGGTGCAAACCTAACCGGCACCCAAAATCTAAGACCCGAAGCCTTCTCTGCAGTCCATGTCCTCACCGGGAGTTTGAGCTTACGAGCCAGCAAGTACATGCGTGGGTTCCTAAACTCCCAGACCCTTGTGAGCAGCGAATCTGCAATCGACTGTCATGTAGATGGCACCATGGGCAGGTCCCTAAATTATTGATTCCCGTTTGGTTCAGTGACCTTAAACCCTCAGAAGCCTAGCCAGTCGAGTAAGCGGCCTAGTTGTAGCCTTTTCACCCATGCCGCAGGTAGCCTTCCAAACCCTAAACCCTAAGCCTCAAACCTAAACCCTAAACCCCAAACCCCAAACCCTAAACCCTAAACCCTAAACCTCCTAAACCCTGACCCTAAACCCTGACCCTAAACCCCAAACCCTAAACCCCCTACCTGCGGCACTTGAAGCTCAGTTGCGGGTTGGGGCCGAAGCTGCCAAGGCCGGGCAGCCTGATCCCGGGGAGAAGGCGGCGGGAGTTGGCGGGTTCAGGTTCGGGTTGAGGGGAGGGGGCTTAGGTTGAAGGGGAAGCGTAAGGGTTGTGTTTTCAGATGAACTGCGTGGAATTTCAGGCTACGCACCGAGCCACCCCACAGCGGTTGTGGTGGGTTTTTTTGGTTTGAGGCTTGGGGTTTTGTCAATCCTCAGCCTCTACAAGGTCCGGAGCAAGCTTGCTGGATTGGGTCTTCAAATTCTAAGCTGGTGGCCAGGCTCTGGACGTGGATCTGCAACATGTGCAGCTAGCAGGGTACATAGTTGGGACTACACGCCCCACGGATAACAGATCGGACGACAACCGCCGAGGTTTTAAGAAGCCGAGATTCTGAGTCCCATGCCAGGGAGAGAGTCGGTATCTGCAGCAAGCACACTGGAAACTAGGAAAAGCAGGTGCCCACAAACCACCCTCTGTGATGAGACTGGGAATTAGAAGTGTCAACGCGATGGCTGAGAGCAGGTAAAGGTGAGATCCACTGCTATCCTCACACCCTCACTCCCAAACTCCTAAGGCCAAAACGCCCAAGCAGATGGAACTCAAAACCTCAAACGCCCTACAAGCCGAGTGCGGAGAACAGACCTGAGCCCTAAACCCCAAACCCTAAACCCTATATCCTAAGCCCTAGACCCTAGACCCTAGACCCTACCCTCGACCCTAGACCCTAGACCCTAGACCCTCGACCCTAGACCCTCGACCCTAAACCCTAAACCCAAACCCTTGAGCAGCGATGTTGCGTGTGTGGCTGCCTTCCGGGTCTGAACTGGCGGCTTTCCCCATCGACGAGCTGAGTGATGTGAGCCTTTCCAGTGGGAGTTCATGGAGGTCATCTTGGTAGCTAAGAAGATAGCCACCAACCTGTTTCCGGGGTTATGGCTTCCCTGAATTAGCCCTTCATTGTCCCTTGGTATCGGACAAGTCAAACCTCAAGATAGATGCCTCGTAGGAAGATTTGCAGACTGGAAGAGCCTTTGGAAGGCTGGAAGAAGTCTTAGGTATAGCGGCCATTTTTTTTGTTTTTTCGGAGAGTCCTCCACGACCCCTGTATGAAGTGGTACCTTATCTCCTCGCTCCTGTTCCTGCAATGGCCTCCAAGGAAGAGTTTGAAGTCCCGCCTGTTCCATCAATGCGGTCACACGCGATTCCGGCAGCGACTGGTCCATGCCGGTGCAGTTTTGGAGGATGGTGACAGTGTTGACCGCCCTCGGGCCGCAAGCTCTTTCTGTGGTCACATCCCTCTCAAGATTTTTTGTTGTTGCAAAATTTTTTAAAAAATAAATTCCAGTAAGAACCGGCGGTATTCTCATGGTTCTTGTTATGTTGTCAGCATGTTGAGTAGCATTCTTTTCTGTGAAGCCCCAAAGCCTCCGACAGAACTCCTTGCACTCTTGTTTACTTCGGGGTGCGGAGTGCAGGTTCCATACGTTGTGGTTCAGAGGTTTTGAGGGTGTTCAGGGTTCGAGGCCGCCAGAAACTTTCCGGAAGCTAGGCCCCATGGACTTGCAGATGGTGCTGCTGCCACCGACCGACCCATCTCAGATTCAAATGAAACTGGGCAGCCGTTGGACAATTCACAGTCCAGGGGTCCGAGCGCTTGGGGCTGTTGTAATCACGTTCAAGTGGTTCCCATCCTCCGATACCGAGCGCCCCAACAAGCAGGTCGTGTTTCGACAAATAGAATCGGGTATGTGCAGGAATTGGAGATGCCTTTTGGGTCAGTCATAGAGGGTTTCCGCCCCTTAGAAGTAGCAAGAGGTAGCCAGTGCCAATCGTAGGGTGAGATTTGCCCTGTCGGCAGTGGGTGGTCTGTTTTTGAAAGCAGTGACTTATTACGACCCCCAAGAAACCTGCATTGACTACTAGAGGAACTCGGGCGAACCATAGATCTTGTCCAGCAATCTGGGTAGTGCAAGAGGTAGGCCACCGACTGCGCGGCTTGTTCTCGCCTAGGGACGATCTCGTCGTGGCAGCCCTCGAAGGTAGCGCGAGCGACGTTGAGCAGATACCCAGTCCGACTGTTCATAACCCACACACTGAAGCAACACACCCCAGTAGCCCCTGACAACGTAGAAGACAGGACCCCGGCTACCCCGGCGGCTGGGGAATGGGAACATCTGAGACGCCGGTCGCTGCAGCCGCCGTGGAAGGCACACCTTGACAGAACCACCAGGGTATACTCAGAGTATACTCAGATGAATGGCCTCACTACAGAGGTAGCGAGGCTCAGGCTTGAAGGGGTTTGTTTCACTTGGATTCTTCTTGCCTCTTGGCAAGCAGGGACTGAAGGAATGGCGGGATAAACTGTGGGAGTTGCCATGACACAGGGGAGCGTTGCAAGGATTATATTTAGAACAGCAAGGCTTCAATACGAATCCTAAGCCCACAGCATCTAGGGAAATCTGCCGGATTTTGAGGTCTTTGAGTTCTGACAACGAAGCTGCACAGTGCTCTGCTCCGTGGCAGAAGCAGGGAAAACCCCAAGTAGCCGGAATCTCTCTTCCGCCTCTTGATTCGTGGGAGGTCTGTTCGCCTAACCTTAACCCAAGCAGTTTAGGGCTTAGTGTTTGCACACTTTCCATCTGGCAGGGCACGTTGACGTACTACGCCTGCTGTTGGAGGCCTTGGCTGACCCAAACGAGTCTGATTCAAAACAGGTACGCTTCTTCTGGTGTTAGGGCTCAGGTTCGGGTTTAGGGTGCGTAAGGTTTGGTGGTTTTCAACTTTCTAGTTGTATCAATGTGGGAAGTTGCGCTTTAAACTCATCCATCCGAAGGGGAACCCTAGGTCAAAGATGTAGCCCTAGCTTTTTGTGTTGCAAAGAAGTCTTCAGAAGGTTAATAAATCCACACCAAGGAGTATGAAGAATGCCCTGCCCTTATTCGGGCCTCTCGCAATGGCCACATGGAAGCCGCCCCGCTTTCTGCTGGATGCTGGGGCTGCTATGGATTACATATTCCGCACCCCCGGAGAGGATCAGACAGCTCTTGGCGCGGCGTGTCTAGAAGGTCATCTTGAAGTTGCACTCCTGCTGGTTCAAGCTGGGGCCGACTTAAGCTTGGGCTATGACGGGGGAGCGCCTCTCTGTGTCTTGGTGGTCGGGATGGCGTGTCCTTTTTTGTTGTCGCAGCACATGGGTGTGACGACATGCTTGCCGGTTTGCACCTCAGGTCTTGCAGCAGAGTTCGGCTACTTGGAGCTCGCCAATTTGTTACTTCAAGCTGGCGCAGACAAAGACTTGTGTGATGATGTTGGTCTGACGTCCTTGGTTTGGGCGGCTGCCAATGATCGCATGGAGATTGCCAATCTGCTTCTCGATTCTGGTGCAAACAGATACTTGGGAAACCATCTTGGCGTGACACCTCTTGTCTGCGCATCGTGCAAGGGAAATGTTGACATGGTCCGTCTTCTGCTGGAGCCCGCGCCTGGCACGGACTTAGATGGCTTAGACGGGCTAGATGGTCATTCTGGTGCTCTTGGAACAGCTCTGCTTGCAGCATCCAATAAGGGCCATACGCAGACAGTGCGTCTGCTGTTGGAGGTACAGCCTGATAACTCCTTGGAGTTCGTGGTGCCCGCTGCCATCTTCTGTGCTGCCTGGCATGGTTACACGAACGCGATGCAGTTGCTGCTCGACTTTTTGGCTGAAAGAGGCTCGGCCTGCGACTGTGGCTGGGCAATGGCCTTGGTAGGTGGCGCGGATATGTCTTCCCTGCGTAGTCACAGCACCCACCCTCAAAGCTGTGACATGGAACTTTCTGTAGTGGAGGCATCTATCCAGGGTGATCTCGGGGTTCTGTCACTCCTCACGTCACTCGCGCCTGGGCATCGCCACGTCAGCCTGGCAGCGTTAATCTGCGCGGCAAGAAGTGGACACGTGGAACTTGTGAGAAACTTGCTGCAGGCACTGACCGACCATGAGTTACTGGAGGCAGTGAGCCCAACGGCCGTTGCGTTTATCTGCGCAGCTCACCAAAGGCAGCACGAGTTGGTCGAGTCGCTGTATCGGGATATCGCCCTAGAAAGGAACGGCCCAGCAGATGCTGACATCCACAACCTTTGGCACTTGCTGGCTGCGAACTAGTACTGATACCGGAGTGTCTCGGTGGCGTCGGTGCAGCACCTGCAGAAAGGCGGAAGTGAGTGATCGTTCTGGTGTCATGCCGCATGGTTTGAGGCAAAGTGCCGGGAAGCCGACAGATATGTCGTGTGCTCTTCTAGGCAGCTCTTGGGGATCCAGATTGAATCAGACACTGGTTTGTGCAGGCCCGACATCGGACCTCCAAAATCCTGAACCCTGCACACAAAGCCCTCCCTGAATCCCTAAACCCCAAGCAATCTCCTGTTGTGTTGGAAGCCCTAAACCCTCAACCCATGTCTAAACCCCAAAACCTAAACCCCAAACCCCAAACCCCAAACCCCAAACCCCAAACCCCAAACCCCAAACCCCAAACCCCAAACCCCAAACCCCAAACCCCAAACCCCAAACCCTAAACCCTAAACCCTAAACCCTAAACCCTAAACCCCTTCGGGCCGAAGGAGCCCGTTCCCGTGCGTGTGGGTATGACCGTCCGGCGGCCCGGGGTTGGATGCGGTAAAGTGGGGGGGGGGGGGGGTGGAGTAGGTTTATCTGGTCTATCGTCACTACTTAGCGGTTAGAGGGGAGATGGGGGGAGGTGGAGGTTTGAAAGTTTGGGAGAGAGTTTAGGTCTGGAGATTTTTTGTTGGGTTTGGCAGGGCTTTGAGGGTTGACCTGGACCCTAAACCCTAAACCCTAAACCCTAAACCCTAAACCCTAAACCCTAAACCCTAAACCCTAAACCCTAAACCCTAAACCCTAAACCCTAAACCCTTAACCCTTAACCCTTAACCCTTAACCCTTAACCCTTAACCCTTAACCCTTAACCCTTAACCCTTGACCCTTAACCCTTAACCCTAAACCCTTAACCCTAAAGCCCCTCAGCGAACTTTGTTGAGGGGGGGCTTGCGGAGCTCAAGTTTTTGGATCCCAGAGGCCACGAATTGACATTTCAGTTATTCATAGCCTCGGTTTGGGCTTTAGGGTTTCGGGTTTAGGGTTTAGGGTTTCGGGTGTAGGGTTTAGGGTTTTGGGTTCAGGGGTTTGGGGTTTTGGGTTTAGGGTTTAGGATTCGTATCCGCTGTGAGGTGATCAACAGCAACGGCTATTCAGGGACGGTCGTCGAAGACTCGCGGGGAAGCCCGGACATGCTTGGCTCTGGGGCAGGACTTACGCCACTTTGCATCTCAAACCCGAAGTCCCAAGCGGTTTGGCAATGCCCACCCAACCTGAACCCTTAAACCCTTAAACCCTTAACCCCTTAAGCCCTTGAACCCTTGAACCCTTGAACCCTTAAACCCTTAAACCCTTAAACCCTTACACCCTTAAACCTTAAAACCCTTAAGCCCTTAAACCCTTAAGCCCTTAAACCCTTAAACCCTTAAACCCTCAAACCTCAAACCCTGGAACCTTGAACTCCTGAACCCTAAACCCCAAACTCCAAACCCCAAACCCTAAACCCTAAACCCTGACCCTCAGGGAGTCTGTGTCCCCAAGCCCCGGCTTCAGCTCCTCTCCCCTCAGAATCCGAGGCTTGACGAGAAAACCTTCAAAGTGATGTTCGGACAAGGGAAGGCGCCCCGGGGAGCTGCCAGTTCTCGAGGTTCCCTGTTTAGGGTTTAGGGTTTAGGGTTCAGGGTTTAGGGCTACTCCCTTAGTTAAGTTACCCCATAAGGGAACCCCTCGTAGTACTTCAGCTCGAGAGCCATAGGATGGTAGGGCTTGACCGTGGGGCTTCGGGGTTGGGGTTTAGGGACCCTGCTTGGTGGGCATTGATCCATGTAGAAAGGGAACCCCTGATTCAGACCACCCAAAAAGCCCTAAATCCTAAAGCCAACCCTAAACCCTAAAAACCCCTGAGCCCTAAACCCCAAAAACCAAACCCTAAACGCCCTTAAGCCCTAAACCCCGCAACTGCGAACCTGGCACGCTGAGACTGCAAGGTGTGGTCTTGCAACATCCGCCGGCCAGTGGCTCAGGGGGCCCGGACTAGAGGTCCGAGGTTGGGATGTTCCTCCTTATGCTAGCAGTCCTCAATAGGGATTATAGCACCCCCTATTAAAATCCCTATTGAGGACTGTTAGTTTAGGGGGGAACATCCCAAGTCCGAGGTTTTGTGAAGCTTCCCTTCGGGGTACGATAGGAATGAGGCGGGCGATAGTCGACCTAGCTTCCGAAGACCTTCCTTGCATTTTTACGGCTCATCCTTGGGACTTTGGTGTTTTGGTGCAGACAAAAGCACCTTATTTGTATAGGCAAGTTTGTTTTGATGAAGGTTCTCAGGGCAGTCAGCCAGTCTAGGAGGTCTCCGCTTGGCGGGGAATGGATGCGATGCCACCACCGATCCTTATGGTTCTGTAGTATACTTGGCCTTGAATGCGTGAGGGCAAGACCAGAAGCCTATGGTACTTAAAGGCACAGGCTCTATATGAAGCCTCACTGTTGACTTCCATCCACAGCAAAACCCTAAACCCTAAACCCTAAACCCGAAACCCTAAACCCTAAACCCTAAAGCTCCAAAATCCAGGTGCACAGATGAATGGGGCCATCCCCTTGAGGTCACCAAGCCAGCCCTCGGCCCATCTTCCAAAGGGTGCCGTGTTGGGGATGAAGATGGCACCCTGCACCCCTAAAATCTGGAGCCGCAAAAAGTCTGGGAGTCGATGCCGCGGGTAGGGGAGTCTGGGGTTGGGGGTCTTGAAGTTATCGGTCCACGGCTCAGGTCTCCTGCTTGGAGGGGTGCTGGGGGGGGGGGGGGGAAGTTGCGGGGTTCACACAGGCCTTCATCTTCTTACAGGCTTGGAGGATTGAGGTTGTGCTGCAGCTGCTTTGCGAGGTCCCATCTCTGGGCCGTGAGCACCATGGCTCCTAAATTAAAACCCGACACCCAATATCTTACACCCCTACAACCCTGAATCGCATAACCCCCCCCCCACCCTACCCTAACTTGACCCATAGGGTGCCTGAAACCCCAGGCCCCAAGCTCTAAACTGCCTAACGCCTGAAGTCCCCAACCCGCTCAACCTTGCCGAGGTTCTGAACGGCCATTCCTCTACTGCCGACCAGGGTGAGGTTGGTGGTCTTGGGCTCGCGGGTTTGGTGGGTTAAGGGGCTTAGAGGGGGTTATTGAGGGGTTTTAGAGGAAGTTTCGAGAGGGTGAGACCTTGAGTCTAAGTGTTCACCCTTAGCCCAAACTTTTGGGGCCTGGACTCCAGGATTACAGTGGCCTAAGCATTCATACCCCAAAGCCTAAATCCCAAACCCTGATCTTCAACCGCCAGCCCAAACCGTAGGCACCTGTGCAGAACGGAGCCGCGCCCCCAGTGTTGCTGACTCTTCGCGATTTCGGGGATTGGTTGGAGTCTCGGTGCCGACTGAGTCTTAGCATGGTTCAGGGTTTTCTGGGATTGGGGGTCTAGAGTTAGGGTCCTGGATCAGCCGTTCACGATGTCCCTCGCTTGTCTCACGTGTCGCTTGAAGATCAGGACAGGCGCATGCCTTCCGCCTTACGTTACAACAACGTTTGCCGCTCTGAGTGCCGGTTGCTCGAGGCCTTCAAATTTGCCCAACAGCGGTGGCTGATCGGGGTAAGTGTCACATCACCAACAGTGAAGAACCTCAGTAAGCCGAGCTTGGGCAATGTTAGACGAAGTTCATGGGACTCTACCTTGGACCTCTAAGGTTGCACCCTTGGGTTTTGGGGGCCCTTTTTAAGGGTCCCCTAAGGGAATACAAGGGCCATATTAGGAGCACATGAAAGGAACCTCTTAGGGCTAAATCCTTCTAGGTGTACGAGTCTTGATCCCTTGAGAAGAAGCCTTGTGTCGAAGAACCGTGAAGAAAGCTCCCTGGGCACCGTGCCCCATGAGGTTCTGAACGGGAACGCTGCCAGCCACAGCCTTTACAGGGTGCGGGCCGAAGCCTTGCGAAGCTGGGTTGATCAGACAGAAGTGGACAGCGGATGATGATGTTGATGGTGCTGATGGTGAGCCCGTTCGTAGTTCCGAAACCCTGTGCCCTAAGCGAAGCCCAATGTTAAAGCTTTGAGCCTTCGTGTTCCGCCAAAGGTTCTGCATTCGGCAGGCCGAAACTTAGTCGGTTCACTCTGAACCCGAGCCACTTGAGCCCCTCAATAGACCTTCAATCCTTAAGAAAGAGCGCGTGCGAACCACCATGCTTGGGCGAAAGTTTAGGGTTTGGGGTGTAGGGCGCAAGAGAGGCAGGGGGTGGGGGCGGGGCTTTCTTGGGATGCTAGGGTTTGGCTTACATAGTAACCCGCAACCCTGCAACTCTAAGGGTAGTCCCCTACCTTCTTTGAAGGGTTCTGAAGTCTGAGCCCTTGGGTTGCATAGGGTATATCAGGGGAGAATAAGGGGGGGGGGGGCCTTTTGTAAGGGCCCATATGAAGGGACCATGCAAGAGTCTGCACTCCCGCCTACGGTGGATGCAGGAGCCTCGGCAAGACAATCGCTGGGCCGCCTGGCGCAACTTGTGTGAAGGGCCCACTTTTCGGACGTAAGTGGCTGTGAATGGCTGTGAAGGCAAGGGGCACCCTGAACCCCCAACCCGAAACCCCGCAACGTACTGAGACAATTCCAGAGAAACACGAGCACCCAAAATTTCATCAGCATCCATCTTCTGGGGGCTTGAAGCTAGTAGCGATGAGGTGTCGGTTCAGGGGTTTCGATTTCAGACTCCAGGGGGTTTGTCGTTGGCCGACCTGCCAGGAGACCTTCACGGATCCGAATTCCAACAGCCTCTGGTTCTGGCATTCAGAATCGAAGGACAGCGCCCGTGCCCAGAAGTTTCGCTCCCTGCAAGCCGCAATCAAACTCAAGAAGAACTCTCATGAGTCCTTCGTCTGTCTCCCCTCTCTGAGGTGAAGCAGGCGCCTAAACCTGAATTAATTACGCCCATAAGCCTAAGCCCTAAACCTTTAAACCTCTAAACCCTAAACCAAATGAAACTCCACTCTTTTGTGCGCTTGAACCAGCTCAGGCCCAAAAAGGGGACCATGACTGAGAGTATACCCCCCCCTCCCCCCAGAAGAATATCAAGTAAACAATACGATAACTTTAGGGAAGGATATGGTAAACATAACACGGTTGATTTAGGGCATGGGGTTCTCTCTTCTGGTGCCGTTAGGGCATGGGGTTCTCTCTTCTGGTGCCATAAGTTGAAGGTCCTCAACAGCAAGACCTGGTAGTTTTCCCAGTATACGATCAGCTCCATAAGTCCTAAACCCCGGCTGGTCACCGAAAAGACTTTGTCGGGAAGGAGTGGTTCTTTGGGCAAAACCCGCCTGCCGGCTGGCCAGCCTGGCACGAAGGGCCTTGGTGGGCGTTCCGTTGAGCTCAGGGCTCAAGGAATGATTCAGGGCTGACTCTGGGTTTGGGTTTAGCGTGTTCGGTTTGAGAGGTTTAAGCCTAAGCTTTGAGAGCTTGGCCAGGAAGGTATTTCGGGTGAATCGCGGTTTTGGAGGTCAGTGGCTCGCTGGAAGGTCTGCCAGGGACTGCTTGGGGTTTTACGGTTGAGAAGTTTAGGGCAGCAACTGCATTCTGGATTGGGCTTTCGGCTGCCTTGCAGGCGAACATCTCTTCGTCTTGTCTAGACCTCAATCAGACCTCCAGATTACATGAACGTAACTACCGAGATCCCAAACCCTCTTGAGCTTCAACCACATCCGACGCCTCAAGCCCCGGGCCCCATCCAGCCCGCAGCCAACACCCCCCTGCGTCGCTGGGCCAGGACGAGGTTCAACTCGGAAGGCTTGCACTGGTGGTGGCACGAGGCGCCAGCGCCGCTGGGGCCGGTTGAGGCTTTGGGGTTTAGCCTGCTCAGCTCATCGGATTCTGCATGGTGTCATCCGGTACCGTGGGGGTCGAACTAAAATGTCCTAAACCTCTACCCTGCAAGAGGATACCCAGACTTTCTTCTTCGAGAAGTCGGACAAGCCGGGAAACGTTGCCACTGGGCTGCTTGAGGGCAACTTGTTGCACCTCTGCTTTTGGAAGAACCCCAGCACCTCAAGTGAAGCCGAAGCCCATCAGTTCCAAAGACGTGCGCATCTCACGTTGCTCTGGAAAGACGGTTCCGGCATGCGCGGTATGGGGCACGGAGACGATCAACGCTAAGCCCTAAACCCTAAACCCTATAAACCCTTCTTAGAGCCTTCTTTCCCAGGGCAAGAAGAGTTTCAGTTTAAATCTTGGAGTTAAGATTATGCTCACCCCTTGTTTGGTTTCTTTCGCCCACCGGAACCTGCAAACTCATTCAACCCTCACAATCCCACAGCCCCTCAACAGCAGATCGTTAAGCTGCCCCGACACACCCAAGCGTGTGACTCTCTATGTTTTGGGGTTCAGAACTGTCTAGGGTGCGGGATTTGGCACCGCCCCGAAGGGGAAAATCTGAGGTTCAGAGATGGGATTGCGCTGCTACATGTTTCGATCTAATGAAGTCAGGGAGTCGCAGGTCCATCTTGCACCTCCGCCCTGAACCCGAAATCGCCGAAACCTGCTCCCCGAAGCCCTTCGCCAAGGGCGGCTCATGACTGTGCGTCGAGAGCCCCTAGCTTTTCACCTGGGTGCAACTGCAGCCACGGGCGTGGAGCTGGCAGGTGAGAAGAGCCTTCCCTCACTCTTAAACTCTCTAAGGAATACGGAATACGTGCCATGAAGAGTTCTAGAACTGGCTTCAGGGTTCAGGGCTGCAGCGTCACAGGTTGGGGCTGTCTTTTTGTGTTGGACCCTTCCTTGGGGTTGAAGGTCCAGTATGTCCAGGTTTCAAGTCGTGAGTTCCCTCCCTGTCTTGATGTGAGGTGCTTTGTTGCATGCAGCCGGGTGAACAGATGCCTGTGATCCCGAGACCCCCAGCTAGGATCGGCCAACTTGCCATGCCCGGCTGCCTCGGAATCTGACGCGAGCACGCGTGTGACCGCGTGCGCAACTTCTTGTTTTGGAGGATGGTCCGGCAGATTGAGCCATAGGGACCACGGAGCCTAAACGACCCTAAGCTCTAATCCCGGAACTTTCCAGGCCCGCCCATCCCAAAGATCAACCCTGCATTCGCACGCCGAGAATCCTTGAGACTACCTGTATAACATTGTAAGACTGTGGCCTGCGCCCGAAGTACCTCGCTAAACCCCCCCCCCCGAGGGTTCCTGGAGTCGGACCATCAACTGTTTAGTACCATGAGGGTGAGACCCAACTGCAGAGGGCACAGAGGACACTCCAAATGCTGGGAGCTTTGGGAACTCGAGGAGCCATCTATGGGCAGCCTAGAGGGGGCTCCATGCGATTCCAAGGGGGTTCCTTTTTGGGGAGTGCTGTGCGCCCTCCGGCTACAAGTATGGACTCCTAGTGGACAGGCCGTGGGGGCTGCCAAAAGATCCGAGCTGCTTCGTTTTGTGAAGGTTGGGTCAAAGGCCAGGGGTGGGTTCAATATGTAGCAGTGGCATCGCATGATGGGTGGGTTTGCTATGCGCATTGTTATGTCCAAGCTAGCCATTAGAAGATACATGAAGATACATTATTGTTCAGCCGCAATACACAGTATGCCAGACTCCCCCACTTGGAAAACCACACTTGTTCGGCTCTGGGACACGAAATTGAGGTAGATCTTACTTAAAGGAGGTGTAGAGTTGAGGGTTTATGTCAAGTACATACTTCATCACGGGTTGGTATACCAAGGGTAAGCGTGGGGCATTTTTTCGGTACAGGGTCGAGGCTTGGGGTTCAGGTCCATGGCTTTACCGGGGCAGTAGGATCCTGGGATGCCCAGGGTGCTCGTACTGGGGGTGCCCTTCCTGTGGAGCTCCTTACGGCCTGGTCTCCGCAGACGCGGCTTTGCAGTCATAGGATGCCTATACTCCGAAGCCCTGGGGCGAACCTCATGGGATGCCCCCCGCAACCAGAGGCCGAAGCCTTCCACTTTTCGACATCCTGAAGCCCTCTCACGACCCCACAAACAACTCTGCATCACTTTGTGCATGCCAGGCCAAAAACTCCCCAACTCCCGACCCTCAAACCCCAGCCTCCGAAACCCAAGACTCCACCCCCCCCAACGCATCGCATTCTTCGCCGACCTCACGCCGGCCTCGCCCATGGCGCTGTTGCGGGGGCCGCCCCGTGCCGCCGGCCTGTGCCCAGCCGCAAGTTTCGGGGCTCAGGGCTCAGGGCTCAGGGCTCAGGGCTCAGGGCTCAGGGCTTAGGGCTTAGGGTTTAGGGTTTAGGGTTTAGGGTTCAGGCTTTTCGGGACTCTGCCCTTTTGGGCCCCCGTCCCCCATTGCTTGAACTGAAGCCCTTGGCCCTACAAAAGCCTTGTCCGATTGTGATCAGCGACCCAACAGCCTTTCAACCCAGGTGGCTCGCCGTGTTGTTGGCGCTCTGGCGGTTTCAGGCTCACCGACCCACTCTCCAAGTTGAGGGTTTCTGCTGAGCCTTTAGCCGTCAGCTGGCCCCCGCTCCACTCCTCGGGCAAAGACTCTAAGAAGGCTCTGTGTTGGGATTGAAGCAAACCCTAAAACTCATTCCTCAAGGCTCTTGGTCATCCCAGGAACTGCAGGCAACAACGCGCTTTGCACCTGGGAGTTGTTCTTTGTCAGGTTTTGGCTGTGGCCTCATAGAGAACTGGGCCAGGTCCAGTGCTTGGGAACTGAGGGCCTCCAGGGTCCAGCTACTTGGGGCCCGGCCTGCAGACCGAAGCCTTTAGAGGGCGTTCCTGCGCATCTGTAGTTCCCAAGCCCTCGGCGACAAGCCTCAACTTTAAAGACCCTAGTTAAGCCCTGAGCCCTGAACCCCAAATATCAAAACCTCAGCCCGAAACAGCCTTAAGCTCTCTTGCGCCAGAGGCTTTCTTGCTGCCTGCGCCGCGGAGTGGGTCTCCAGTGGCGAGACGTGCGCAGGGCGAGGTGGGGCCGCTGCCACCTCTTGCAATGCAGTGCTTCGGTCTTTGATGGTGCAGATGCTCTGGGGGCTTTGTTGGTGGCCACGGTGCACATAGAGGGTCTGTGGGGTGCACTTGAAGTTCTGGAGGCTCCAGGACTAGCGATGGTCTGAGAATTCAATCCGAAGCCAAACCCCGGACTTGCCCACAAACCGAGCCAGGCGAGTGGGCCCGTTGGTGACTGGGTTGAGTGCGAGATCTCGAGCTCCTGGCTAATTAAGGGCTTGGGGGCCGGGGCAGTTGTCTAAGATGGGTTTGAGTTTTTAGGAAGAAACGAGCTTCAAATCCTAAATTCCAAGGAAAAACTCAAGACCCCAGAGCCCAAACCCCAGAATCCTGAGCCTTAAAATCACTCTTTGACCCACTAGTCGTCGCTGGCGCCCCCTTGCCTCAGTGGGTGATGTTGTTGTCCTTCGCTTGCCGCGCTCATTTTCTCTATGGTATTCAGACTGTCAGCTTGATTCATAAGTCAGCAGAGCCTAGGACCGACTGTAGGGTGGCCAGCACAAGGAAGCTTCACACTCAGCCGGAAGTCGTGGAGGAACACTTGGATGGTTTCTGTAGTGGTGTACACAACGCAAGGGTAGATCCGAAGAATTCTGCAGCTGCAGGCTCCAAAACACCCTTGGCACGCCCTCAACACTCCCACCCCCTCCCCACCCCTTCTGTTCTGACCCACAAGACCCAAGTCTTGAACCCTAAACCCTAAACCCTAAACCCTAAACCCTAAACCCTAAACCCTAAACCCTAAACCCTAAACCCCAAACCCTAAACCCCAAATCCTTAACCCTAAGCCCTAAACCTATAAACCCAAATCTGGCCAGGTACACCCCAACCATCTCCGCGCACATCTCAGTTCAAGAGCCGCGCCGGAGCGAGCTTTGCCTTATCTCAGGTCCAAAGGGTCTAAGGGGTCAAGGGCCGTCATAGTGCCAAGATAGTTCCTCGGTATTCTTCAATCTTGCAAGGTTTTTAAGAGGATCATTGAGGAATGTTTCTGGACGGTTTCAAGGGCCGAGGCAGCTGCAGTTCTAGCGCTGTGGGTCTTGAGGGTTTGCTGTACCCCGTCATCCCCGAAGCTGCAAAAGCCCTCCCCAAACTTGAGCCTTGCTGCTCAGGACATCTACATCTTCCACAAGCGACAGCTTCAGGAAGACTTCGGCCACCCGTCTGAGAAGATTTCGGCATTTGAGGCGAAGCTGCGGGAGACTGCGAGGATGCAAACTTAAGGGAGCGGGTCCTGATTTCCACAGGGTTCGTCTTCTGGCGTGGGCTTGAAGTGAAGTGACCGCCAGAATTTCCCACCTATTGCTAAGTCATCCGAGGCCCAAATTATTCTTGCTAAAGGCATGTTCGAAGCTGAGCTTCCTCAGAGCCCAGGCCACCTCTACGCCAAGCTGGGCTTCACGGTGCAGGCTCTTGAGTGCAACTTGAGGGTTCGCCCCAGCAAATCGGGGTCTCCCATGGGCCCATGGGCCCATGGGCCCATGGGTGTTGCAAATCCTCTCCAGAGCTCAGGCTTCAGGGTTTGGGGTTTAGGGTTTAGGGTTTAGGGATATTCCCTGCTTCGTGCGGAGGAAGGTGTCATGTACAAGGACATCAAGACTGTGTGTCGTGAGCCCGAAGCTTGCCGGCAGATTTCGGGTGGTAAGGTCATTCAAGCCTGCGAGGGCAAACAGGCAATGACACCTTGCATGTGAGAGCATCCCAGGCCGGGTTGCGGGTTTCTGGTTGCTTCAGCAGAAACGACTAGCCGAAACTACACAGACTTCCCAGACCGCCCAACACCTCTCTGACAAGCCGGCCCCCTCTACCCCCGCTCTCCCCCCACCTCGTGATGAGGCTGAAGGCTCCCAGCCTTCTTGAAACCTTCTTGAAGCCCCCTACGGAGATAAGTGTAGGTTTGGGGGTCACCTGCGGTTCAGGGTTTTGTGCGTGGGCGTTGGCAACTCTAGGGTTTACTGTAGGGTTTTGGGGGTTTGGGGGCTTATAGGCTGGGGGTGGAGACCAGGACAATCTGAATGGCGAGTGCAGCGATTGCTTCAAGCTTCCTTGCAGCAAGAAGACTCAAATTGAAAGTTGCCGAAGCCTTGAAGTGATCACCTCGTTGTCTTTGCTGTTGCGGCGTGAGCGGCTGAGAAAAGCCAAGAAACGGCCAGGCCTTGGCCCCTCCTCCTCCTCCTCCCTCAGCCGTAAAAGCCTAAGACCTTTAAATCGTAAACCCAAACTTCTTAAAGACCATCGTGCCTGAAGCCTCGGCCTTCAGGTTTATGTTCGGAGGGGCCATCGGCTTCGTGGGCACCACCAGCCCGAAGTTTTACAACCGCCAGGCGGTTTCGGTGCAGGCGCGCGGAGGTTTGTCTGTTAAGGGACTTGGGTCTTGTGGAGCTTTTTGGTTTTTGTTGGGTTTTGGGTTCTTTTGAGGCTTTTTGTTTTTTTTTAGCTGTTGTTTTTTGTGTTCAGGCTTCGAGATTCATTGGGGTATGAGAGTGCCTTGGATTGCAAGATTCCCTGGCCCACATGTGGGTTGGACCATGGGTTGAGTGGGGTGTCTAGGGATGCGGAGGGCTACCCCCAACACAGTCCTGAACCGCATCTGCCCTTGAGGACAAAGGAGCAAAGAAGCCAGTTGATCCGCAGCCCCGAACTCCACAGCCAAGAAACCCTAATTCCAAATCAAAGACCCTAGTTTGAACGCGCACCCCAAAAAAACTACAAGAAGAGAACAACCCAGAACCAAAGCCTTGAACTCCGCTTGACTTTTGAACGGCTCGGTTCACACGGGCAGGAGTGCGTTGGCGACACGATGCAGCTCTTCGAAGAGACCGCGGCGCTGCCGTACGACAAGACTGGCGGGTTTCAAGGGCTCCTAAGCGTAAGTGTAGACTGTCCGCATTCAATTGCAGGAGCTTGTTTGTCCATTCCCCAAACCTTGCGAAAATCTCCTGGCATAGTTGGTCAGTCCTGAGGCAGGTGCAGGTTCGTGGGCTCCAGCGTTAATGCAACCGCCGGAATTGTGCGCAGGAGCCGCCCCGACACCTCCATCTGGTGTATGAAGGAGCATCGATGAGGAGCAATGCCCTTGATTGATTGCAGAATTCGCCAGCGAACGGTTTTCGATCCATCGTTGCTGAAAAGATGGCATGCCGGTCCTTCTTCAGGTAGGAAAGGCAATGATACGCTGTTTCGACGTGTCTCGTGTTGACCAGAACTTATTCAAAGACATTCGCTTACATGACATTTTTCTTCGTTCTTTCGAAGACATACGCTCATGAGATTTGATTTCGCTTTTACCATGACAATTCCTGTGATAGACTTTCGGTCCCACGGGCTGAATCTTGCATCTCATTTCGTGCTTTTGGGAATTCAACAATGGATTCTGCGATGCCTTGACTCTGAATCACGGGTCTCATTGTCGGGCGGGAGCGTCACTAGTCTTCGGGTCTCGGTGCTGCCCCGCTCTTCTTCTTGCTTTGAATCGACGAAGGATGCAACGGCAAAGGCATTTTCCATGCAATGGGAAAAGGTACTGTCTTCTTCGGCGGTGATTCTCTGTGGATTGGGATTCTCTTTGGATTGGGAATGGAATGCAAAGAAAATGCAGCGGTGGAACTCGCGTGACGTATCTACAGAAGTTAATCTTCCCAAATAAAGCTGTGTTGCCTGCCGGGCCGCAAGTTCTTTCTGGAGACCTTTCGCAGCAGCATCTTCTTGAAATCATGAAGTCAATCCTGTCCGAGGCGAGTTAATCTGCGAAGTCTTAGCGATTATATGTAGACCTCGGCAAAGCATCTCGAATGTTGTTGGCTCTGCAGTCGAAGCTCTGGGCTGAAATCTAGTGCATCTAGTTTCCGAAAGTTTCCGGCCCTTGCGCCCAGCGAGCTATAAGCGCGCAATGTCTTCCAGGATTTGGGGTTTGGCTTTGGTCTGTTTGGCCCAGGCTGCTGCGAACGCCACGGACATGATGGTTCGAGGGCCTAGCGGAGCGAGCATGACAGCGGCCGAGTTTCAGAAGGCAAAGCAAGCTCACCGGTCAGATCCTGCGAACAATCCGGACCCTGCTGCCACACTGGGCTTGCGCAAGAACATGGGCTATGATGTGAAGAACGGCCGAGTCGGTCCTTGGCGGGCGCATGATGATAGCGTTCGTCGTGGCTCTCCTGTGAACGCAGACCTTGACCGAGTGATCGGGCACTTCCCGAATGGCAGCGTGGTGACCCTTCGAGAGTTGGTAGCGGCCCAGGAGTTCCACAAAAGGAATCCTAAAGCTCCAAAGCCGGAAGCATTGCAATTGGCCGGAACATCGTACACATCATCTGTGTCCCGTAAATCGGACGAGAATGGAGTCCGAATGAAGCAAGTGCGGTTTGAGGCGAAGGGTCCTGGCTCAACAGCCTTTTGCGTACCAGTCTCGCGCCAGGGTGTTGTCAAGCATTGGAGTGTCAAAGCTGATTGCGCAAAGCCATCAGACTCACCCGAGCAAGCTGCAAGCTCTGTCAACTTGTTGGGATTGAGCCTTGGAATGACGATGGTACTGGGGGCTACGCTGAGGGCTAAGCAGGCCCAGCAGAAATCCAGGCTTTTGAGACGTTCTGCTGCAAATGCTGTCGTTGAGGCAGACCGAGGCCAGTGTCTGAACATGACCCTGGAGCCTGTGGACTCTGTCTACGAGCAGCTCCCCACCTTCGAGGATGCCACGGGGAGTTTCTATGGCTTGCCAAGTGACAAACAGCATGCCATTTTACGAGCTGGAGCAAGTTGTGGGTGTAGATATCAAGCACCGACACTTCAGCATGGGCTCCGGGCAGGTGCTTTTGGAGACCCAAGGATGTGCCGGCGAAGGAGTCTGTGATGCGGGCTGTGCTGGCATCGCAACCCATGGTCCCCTTCTCCTTTGTCTTGTTGGATGGCAAGTGGGTACCTTACGAGTTCGTTGAGGAGTCCTGCACGTCTGCCAAAACCGGCTTGACCAAGGTACGAGCTTGCAATGGCTTCTTAGAGGATTTTGCAGGCATTGTGAAGAGGCATGGCCTTCAACACATTCTGGGGTTTAACGTGCTGCATCGGGAGCACTTGGACGGGGAAGCAAAGGGCACGCTGGAAACTCCTGGCCACGCAGCGAATGAGCTTCGGATCCGCCCGTACACAGCGGAGCTCGATAAAAGCTTTGCAGAGAAAGCGGCCTGCAATCGCCAGGTTGGATGGAGCTGGAGCCGCATGTCGATGGGCCTCTTTTGTGGCATGCATCGCTGCAGTCACTGCCATCATTGCAGTTCGCATTGCATCTCCCACCAGAAGCACTGAAGTGGTACTCGGTGTTTTGGTCGTGCGTACGGAACTTCGTTGTTTTTGATGATGTCTCTGCATGAGGCAATACTTCCGCACCGATTGTTTCCCGAATGCCGGAGATGTTAAAATGGGGCATAGAGTAGATCGCGGCGCTTTTTTGAGAGGCTGTAACTTGAACTGTTCTATTATGGAGGACGCACATATAATTATAAGGCTATTTAGCTATATGGCACCACCCAAGCCCCACGCTAGGATAAAACTATCTTAACATCTCACTACCCAACCTAGGATAACATCTATCACAATTCCTTCCATATAATACATTAAAAATCTTAGATACGTATCCCATGAAATTCTGGAATGATAATCGATGATGATCGAACAAATATATGGCGTAGGGAAGTCTGCGGCCCATAATATATAGAAGAAATGATAGAGCTGTCTACGAAAATTATAAAAATTGAAAATAATATAGGCGTGCAGGATTCATCGTTAGGCTATTATTGAAAAGAAAATTACGTTATCATTTCGACTTTTTGATTTCTCAAAGAAACCTTCACGAAATGGAAGACCACTATTCCAGAATAGATTCTATCCTTTCCGAGAACTTCCACGGAACTTCCGCGCCCGACTCCTATCCAAATACCATTGCCTTAAACCAAATCTACGGCGCTTCTGAATAAATGATTGTTATTTCATTCATGGTGGTTTTAGAACAGAATCTAAAATCTTAAATCGTATTAGAGGTCGATATTATCGCCGGATGTTTGGGACTAAGAATTCATAAATTCAAGATGCTTAAGATGGAATTTCTCTAGGAAATTATTTCCACGAATTCTTCCAATACTTCCATGGTCACAACGCGGAGCTCATTCTGAATACACACCCAAAATAGATTTCTGTACTAAAATAATTCTCAAGAAGCGCTTGAAAAAACAAAAAACCGCTACTCAAATAAATTATCGAATACAACGCCAACCCCTATTTTTATCTTTCTCTCGTATTTCTTCGAAAATTCGACTTTTTGAGCCAAACCCCACGCGATCAAAATATATATCATTATTTTTTTAAATTCTCATTAATAGAAAAATAAAAGAGAATCATGAATTAATATTTAAATTAAATCATCATTCGGAAATCGGCATTATGATCTTGAAATTATTCATATCATATTTGGGCGTGCCACGAGCTTTCAAAGGCTTTTTGGTATTCATGATTTCTGAAAGTAATTCATTATTAAGTCCATCTGGCTTAAACGTAATACAGAAATACTAGAAATATATACTAATAGAAGAAATCGCATCCCCCAAGCCACCAGATCAAAAATTCGAAATATAATTAACTTATATTCAGATCGTAAGATTGTCCAATTCACCATAACAGACAATTTAATCAAGAAATTCATCACCACAAAAATAAACAAAGAAAAACACAAAATAGAAAAAGAATCCAACAAGATTTATGACAAATACAAAGATAAAGAATAATTAGATCAGAGAATGACACTAGCAAAAGAAGACAACAAAAGAATAGGAAGATCCAACCCAAGAAAGCCCAGAACATATTCAATCAATATTCATTTATATCAATTTAAGACTGAATCGCACTAGGGATTATCATTATTTTTCAGAATTAACAGGGGTAGGGCATACATTCCTATTTATATATATGATCTAATAGTCAATATAGTAACCACGTCGTGGATTGATCATTTAGCGGGGAGACGAATATTTGGAGATGAGAAGGACGACAGGAAAATATTTCTTAGTTCTTAGGCCCAAATATTATTAATGCCAGATGATAGATAGTTTTGAAGCCGACATCGGTTATGCTGAAGATTAGATTGATTATATTAAAATTAATTACGTCGAGAGGGTAGATAATGCCGACGATTTCAAACCATAAGAGGAAGAATTATCAAATATAAAGAATATCAGTATAAATCACAGATATATTCAGACGCCCCTAGATCCTCAATATGAGAGATCTTCAAGGAAATCATTAAAAAAGAATATTATATTAAGAACGAATATTGATTTTAGATCTTGATTCATGATTATAAAATATGAGGATATCCTTATGGGAGACCACAAGAGAAAGAAATACAAATTCACTAAAGAAGCTATCCTAAAATATATATAGGACACAAGAAGATTTTAAAATAAAAGGGACGTCAATAACGGATATGACTAAGATATTTTAGTATTTTAAGTTGCAAGAGAGAATATATGATATATTCGAGAATCTCATTTATAAATACGATCCAATAAGGAGAAATCATAATATCCCAAA